TTTTTTTTTATTACGGGCTGTGACCCAATATAATGTACAAAAAAATAGAAATTTTATGGAGACAATAGTAATAATACAAACACATGATATAATATATATAGTGAGACATAAATATTTACATTTTTAGGTACATAATAGTAATAATAATTAATATAAACACTAAATACCCATTGTAAATAATAACTTTAATAATGTAGTAAAATGTATTCTAAAATTTAATGTATACATAACATATATAATATATATTCCTTTCTTTTTCTTGTATACATTTTGATTAAAGTGGGCTAAAAATCTGTGTTGTTGAAGCCTTAATAAACTTTTATATATAAAAAAAAAATAGTAATAATACAATATTTATTGATATCTAATAAACAAGTGAGGGTGCTCGTTGCCAAGGCGCATCATCCTATCAATTGATTGGTTTCTGCCGTAATATTATTTTCATATTTTTTTTTTTCTCAATAACTTATAATTTTGCGTTATTTTTTGTGAATGTAAATGAAGACCGATTAACAAATCTAATCGAATTTTCAAAATCAAATTTTTTTATATATTTGTTAATAGTTATTTTATACTAAAGTTTCCTACTCTTTTGAAATTGAAGGGTGTAACCACACACCCTGATGGCTGACCCACTGATATTATATATAGTGGTATACCTATGTAATATGTACAATGTACTTATACTATGCATGCATTAATGAAATCGAAAATCATCTGCTCTAATTGAAAATACGAAACAGATATTATTGAGTGCCGTTTTTTTAATGATACATTACTAATATATACATATATATAACTAATAGTTTGAAGCTTTCTTCTTATACCGCAGTCTAAAAATAAATTTCAAAAAATGTTTAACGTTTTTTATTGATATTTTTAAAAATCGAAAGTAGCTACCTAGTTTATGGTTATTAATTTGTGATATGGGGAAAAACGGCTTTGAAATGGGTTAAATTTTGAATATATGAAAACAACTTATATCTTCAAAAATACAGCCCAATATTAAGGAATACTAAAATTGTTAACATACCTATTACGCAGATAATAACCAGATACATATATTATAGTTTTCACAAATTGATAACTAATAATGTTAATCCCAGAAGTCGACTGGCTAGAGGAATTGGAGCAGGTGAAAATTATAAAAGATTATTATTATTAAAATGGCCAGATGAGGAGTGCTGGAACTTTGGAAATAATTATTGGGTTGCTTAATAATAAATTAATATCGTGATATTATTATACTATAATAATACCTAATTTATAAATTATATGAAATATATTATGTATTGCCATTAATTATAATATATAAGTACTAGTATAAATTTATTATTCAATAGTACATTTACGGCTATAATACATACCAGCTCAACTACCAACTAACATATAAATTAAATTTATTAACTATAAAATATTTCCGGGGTGGGGGGGTCGAACCCTCAACCACCCATCATATTATACTTATACAACCTTGCACTCGCTGGATATGAAAAAATCAACAATTGGAACAAATGGAACACAAAGTAAATTTCAATTAGTCAGGTTAATAGTGAGAAAAAGCTTAGGTAGGTATGTACAAAAGTTAAAAATCTTTAAAAGTAGATCGCTTTCATCAAATGAACGAATCGGAATGAAAAAAGTTAGGACATTTTTGCGTAGTTGACAATGTAAATTTACACAAGTCTACATTGGGCGAGATTACTAGCCATGAATACCGGGCATCTATCGATTAATTAAACCGAAGTTAACACTTAACATTGAAACTTAAAACAAAAACGAAATGAATCAATACTGGTCATCAAAACCGAAATTTAAATTGGAAAATAATAGCGTATATTCAAAACCAAAAAAGAACTCGAAAAAATAAATACCTATGTCCTACACRGATATCTGAAACCRAATTCGGAAAAAATATTTTGGTTTCAAGTTAAGGGATAATTAGGAGTAGAATAGAAGCAAATGGAATCTGTGCTTCATTATAGAGGTACTAATCGCGAAATTGATGGGGCAGCCGGCAGAGCATGGAGGATTTTAATATGTAAGCCATGAGGTGATTAGATTCAAGAGAATTTAAAAGAATGGTCGTTTTTTAGTATGATATCAGAAATCAGGTATTTATGTGGGTATCTGGTCACTTCCCCGTCTGACATTTCCCCGTCCATATTGTATTTATTTCTGAAATATTCAAACTATACCGAGATCGTGAAAATATAATAATATGTGTAATATAATTAATAAAATACAGTGGCGTATTTTGGGTGATTTCTCGGGGGGTGTCAACATTTATTGAACCTCACAAACAAAATTTTTAGTATTATTTACTAATGTAAAAAGACATTGAATTAATTTTTTAACAAATTAATATGTTAGGAATTGACAAGAAGTTTTACATTTGATAAAAATAGTATAGATACTATAAAATAAGTGACAACACTAATGTCCAATATAT